TGGCAGGTGCCGCCGTTGCGACAGGGGCGGTGGTTGGTGCAGTAGTTGAGGTCCTGGTTGCAGAACAGTCCGCCCCAGCCCTCCTCGCAGTTGCAGTCCCAGGGCCGCAGGCAGGTGCCGTGCACGCAGCCCGGGTGTCGCTCGCACTGGTCGCACAGCTCGCCCACCCAGCCCGAATGACAACTGGAATTAAACGACAACATTCGTTAGTACACAATGGGACGTGATAACAAGCGACAAAAAGCTTGTCTTTCTTCTCGTAGGGAACAATGAGGAGGATGAATGATTTAGACACGGAGGGAGGTAACGTGCGCGTTTAGCACAAAGGTGTGAAGTGGATACTCACATGCATTCGTCGGGCTTGAGGCAGTGGCCGTGCTCCGCGTCGCAGCCGGGCAAGCACCGCGCTGCAACAAAACAATACATTCGTTAGCGTCACAAAGACAAAGCACTCACGATGGAGCCAGCGCGCTAATGGACTTCTTTAATTGTAGAGGAAGCAGGAGCGTTTAATCATCGGGGGGATATTCGATTCCCGCGCGGTATCTCACATTAACGTTGGAATCTGTGTGCCGTTTCGCTGTAAAGGACACGGCGAGTGCAACAAAGAGAGAGGTTCGTTAGCGTCCCGGCCGGGGGCGAGGTCGCGCGCACACACTATTTATCTTCACTCGCACCAACTCGTAACTACAACGAAATCCTCTTTGAACTTTTATAACCTGCATTAAATTAAAATTTTCACTTTAATTTCGCGTGCAACAGCACTTTAGTCACGTCGAGGGGCATGTCTTCAGAGATTTCTAATTATAATACGAGACTATTATACCAGAAAGTTCTACGTGGCGACTATATTTACATCATTAACTTCGTATGTAGTACTGTTTACACATCGAACTTTACCCTGCTTCGAATTTTGCGGAAAACGTTCAGTGTCCTCGTTTTATTTTTAATGAACGAGTTCATTGCTGCATGGACATGTCAAATATCGATTTCGTTAAAAGCAAAACGGTAATGTATAGCTGATGTTAAGAAAAATTGTTTTGAAATAAGACGTGCGGTGCGAGTCGTATCGGTCGGGTGCGCATGGGCAAGTTATCGGAGCGAATACAAAGGGGGGCAGATAGCGCGGGGAGCCTAACCGTCGCTCGACCGTTACTATTCCCCTAACTCGCTAGAAAAATACTAGACGCCATCTTGATCATAACTTTCATTCCCTATCCAAATGCAAATGTGGACTGGCTTATTCCGGTTCTAAATTGGACGAGGAAGCAATTTCAGCGAAGCTCCGACTACACCGTGGAGTCGGGGAGCTATTTTGTGAGCTTAGAGACGGTCGGGAGCTGCATAAAGGAGATTAGCCTCCGCACCGCGCTCCCTAGACACTGTTATAGGTTTAAGCACAACCGAGCGAGCATAAAGCCCCCAAACTTGCTCCGAGAGCGCGCAAATCGGCTTAAGCCGCACTCCGGCGAATTGGTTAGTTCACTCACGCGGTTATATCTATTATCATTGCTGCAATGAACCTTTTAACTGTTGAGAAAATTCAAATATAAGCTGCTTTCACGTACGTTTTACACTTTCGCAAATAAATATAAAATGTTATTTGAAACAATCGCTTCTCATGACCTGCGGTGGGCCATTATAATGAATTATTAATAAAACTTTATGACGAACATAAGAGACGAAGAAAAAGTAAGTCGGGCGCCGCGCTCGCTCCGCCAGAGCAGATCAAAGAGCTCGAGTGCCGGTGTTTGTGCGCCGTGCTACTCCAGAGCCACTCGAACTTATCTTGACCCTCGAACTAAGGTAAAACGGTAGTAAAAATTACACTCCAAAACCAATTTAGATCGTAAGTGGGCACGAAGAAGCCGCGGGGAGGATGTTACGGCGCGCTCCTGCAGACCTATTAATTATTATCGATGGACATGAATAGTATCGATTTCTAATGAAAGGCTAGCGTGCGCCGCACTGCGACCAAGGTCTCAGCCAAAGCCTTCGCCGAGGACAGGTAGGACAACAAAAACGACAACTTCGGCCCTGACTGACACTTCCCACACGTGTTCAGCAAATATTTAACTGATCCCTACATCTGCTTCTATCCCAAACGGAAATTAGGTGCGCGTGGGATTCGCAATACAACACAGAATATAATGTAATATTCGTGAGAACTTTACTCTCGTTAATAATTAGGCGAAATTAAGCGGCCATAAAGGCTCCTCTCGCGATATTTACCCTATCATTAAGCAGGAGTGCTGGACGGTGGATAATGCCGCCGGGACATGCAAATAAGTTTTCGGGATTGTTAAGCTTTCCCAGAAGGCAAGATACCGTTCGGCAGATGTGAGGCAGCTTTCGTGACACGGTCAAGTACAGAGTTTATTTCGATTGGTGTTCAGTTCTCGTTTAAAGGTGTTTTTGACCCGGTTCGTGGCATCTGTGTAGCGGCCCGCGAGCGCGGGGCTGTGTGCGTGCGCGAACCTACTGCGTTGTTTTCATTACATTATGGCCGCTTCTCTCGCTTTTACATTTTCGTAATCGCCGATACAAACTCCGCTGATAGGGTTGCCGAGACTTTTATTGCCATGCATTTGTGTAACATACGATCGTTTACGTTCGCGATATTGTTCCTTTCACACGTTCCATATAAAAATATATTTTTTTTTTGTTGTTTTGGGATGATTCAGATGTCGATCGTGCCGGGTTGTCGTCTGTTTACTTTTTCCAGAAAATTGTGATTTCGCGGTTATGGAGTCGCGTGGAGGCTGTATCGGGCAGGCACAGCCCTGGCGCGGGAGCGAGACGGCGCGCTACAGAGAGCGGGGCGCTGCGTCTCTGTCTGGCGCGTTTTTTGCGGCGCCGGAGTGTGGGAACGCGGCGGCAGGTGGGGCTGCCGAGATTGCGACGCGACATCCGCCCGCCGCCCGGCCACAATGCATCTCGCCAAGACGCACAGCTTTGTTTCTCAATACGACTCGCTATGTGCTTAACATACAGCAGGACGTCGTAATGACGTGATCTTAGTATTTTATTAGAAATGTTAAGATCGACAGGTAAAAGCGAACGGACATTGATTGCCAGTGAGCGGTGCGTCCGTTGCTTTTGTTTACAAACGCATCATGCGCGATGGAACGCAAACAGTGCGCCGCGAGGACGGTCACACGCTGGCGATATACTATGACGGAGATTATAATTATTAATACCGCGACACACCGTCGTCTACCATACCGCGGCCATTCCACTATTGGAAATAAATAACGTCACTTGTTGTCATTTCAATCAATTAGAAAATTACAGCGTCGTTAATCGGCAGCCTGGTTTGACATTAACTGCCCAAGTAGCAATTATTTTGATGTACATAAAGATGAACTAAATCTCTGTAATGAATACTTTGATATTCGCTATTTGAGATGAAGAATGTAATTAGCATCAAGATTCGTCAGTTTTTATCAATGCGAATTTGCAAAAAAAAAAACAATGAATCTAGAAATATTTTTAAATGAGGTTTTTCACATCATATGAATGGGAAGTTACATTTGATTTAACAATTCCATTGTGAATATGTCGGAAAATAATAAAAAAAATCAAATCGAAACGCTAATTAGTCGAGTTACCAAAAAGTTTTAATGTGCCATTACGAAGGAAATTAATTAAATACAGGAAATTAATTTCAGAAAATATCTCAACAATTATACACATAAATAAAGTTATGTATGAAATTATGAATTATTGTTTACGTAGAAAATTTTCAACATTAAATAAGATAATGCCCGCCTGTAATTACTATAAAACTATACTTTATATCAGGTATTTTATAACTTCGAGACATAACACAAAAAATATGCGATTAAAATTATGAGCCGTTGGTTGGAGGTCGGCCGATGGCACGGGAAGTGAATATAACCTTATAAATAATGTGAATACCCTAATAGTGATATGGGACTAATTAAAAATACGATTTATGACTTCGGAGCTTCGAGATAATTAGTGCCATTACTATTCGCATGCTGGTATTAAAAACAAAACAAAAAAAAAACATACAAGAAGGTCGCTGACAGCTGTCAAAACTGACATTAGAGAATACCAACATTTCCCGCCTTATTGAGCATTTTAATAGCTTTTAGGTTATGTTTATTTAACGTGGTCTGTACTAAACCAACATAGTTAAATTAACGACATTCAAGTTAATATTGGTTGAATTCCACATCGTTTAGTTTAAAGGATGTTGTTTTAAGTTTAATTTGTCTTTTTTACAATACATAAGTTTGCCCACAGAGCTTTAAATATGTATAATTAAAAGAAAACAGATTTCCTTCCAGTAAGATCGCTAATTATGTCAATTACAATGTTCCTTGACATTTTATATCGTGCGAACGTCGTCTTGTACTTTAGCTTTTTTATTTTACAAAAAAACAGGGTGTGTCACATTTTCATGTTACATCATTATAACGTTCCTATGACGGTCACAATTATAATGTTTATGAGAGGATGTCAGGCTAAAAATTGTCGTTACTTTAATGAGGAAGAGTGAATTGTGGGTCGTTCTATATAATAAACTGGGATATTGGAAATTTAGGACACCATGTGTGACGGAGTAGCAAATTTATCTTTAATTCACAATAATCAAGGCCCCTTATTTATTTAGAAGAGGTGAATCAGCCTGATTTCTCACGAAATTCAGGTTGGCACGGAATTAGGCCTACCTACTAATCTATTTCGTTTTCGACTATTTTTATCGATGTAGTGAAGTATATTTTTAGTTTATTGTTCGTTTTTATGTTACTAGGCATGTTTACACACGAAACTAGCACGATTGGAAGTCCGTCAGGTAAAGTTCGCATACAAAAGACGTGGACACATTCGAATTACTTTTCTTTGTCAATGAACACAATGATTTAAGATTTGTGGCTATTGATTTTTATACGCCATAATGGGCGGTTGCACTCGGATGGTAGTTAAGTACTTATAATAACAATGTGAGTATAGTCGATCCCTAATGGGTACCATGATGGCGTATTGAGATCTTATTGTTATGAATAGAGAGTTTATAATGGAACTTACGTTTCGAGCAGTAGTCTCCGGTCCAGCCAGCCTTGCAGACGATGCCTCCTGATGGCGAACAGGTGTAATGTCCGAAGGCATCGTCTCTCGGCCTGCACAGCACCTCGCACCCTGCGCCGTAGTAATGAGCAGCACAAGTCACCCTGTACGACAGCTTCAGATGAGCAGAGCCGGCTCCACCCCACCGTTGTTCTTCTTCTATCCACGGGCCCCCCACATCCGCAACGCTTTGTTTCGTCATTCGCGCGATAAGGGTATCTGGAATGATGAACAAACAAATAAATATTTTGGAAAGACATAAAACAAAAAGTGGACTGCACTGGACGTTAATATTGAACTTTAACGTAAGATAGCTCTTTACATGCAACTAACACGACCTTACATTGCTAACGACTGTCATAATGACGTCACAGCGCAGCAAAAAATCAGCAGTTGCAGAAGCTCGTTAATAGCATGGCATCAGGTGGGCCAGCCTATTAGAACTCTTTATGAATAATTGAAACAAACGATCGCGCTTCACTATGCCAGGAATCCGTCTGTCTAGTCTATGAATTTTAAAGTTTTTAAAGGTGCGGAATATTGGCAGACTGCATTTTCGGGAGCTGCCACCGCGCAGGTGCAATGTGCAAATAAACTTGTTTCCCAATTTGCTAAGTACATCTGCTCCAAAATTAACGGGACAATTTTAATTAATAAAAATACGGGTAAAGACACAAATATTTGTTTATCACCGTGGGAAAGGGTTACAGAAGTAAATTGACCTGTTAACGTAGAGCGTTTGAAGCCCGCATTCGACCGTGAGATTTCATTGTTCCCAAGCGTGATTCACTGTTTTGATTCGTCGCCGGCGCCGGTGTGATTGATTAATAGTTTTAACTACATTCTTTATGTAACATATTACTTGTAAACCACACATAAGTGCAACGTTTAAGTTAGAAAAAGTAGCTGGACGACTGCGAGCGAGCCAGGCTAACATTACATAAGTGACGAGCAAAAAGTGGTCTGTGAAAACTACCCAGCATTGATTTGAAAAACTGCCACTCCATTCATCAAACCACGTAAGTGCTGACTCTGCGGTAGGGCTGCCCTTATTGCTCTCATTACGAAAACAAAACAAAGACAAGCAAACAGAAAATCCACCAACTTATTTAATTTAGTAATTTCGAAGTAGGTGGGAAAAAATCCAAAACGTTCAAACACAAACCCCGAAACAATTTGGGACTATCAAATTAAAGTTCTATACAAGGAATAAACACGAGTCATCGCGGTGAGAAAACATTTTTTGTTAGCCGTCCGTCCTAGTTTGGACAGTTAACGCGGCAGCCCTAGCTAAGAAATCTCAGCGTCGACCAGTTTCTACCTTTATTTATTTCTCGTCGTGTATGGCCACTTTTTAGTCTTGTTGCTTCGATGGGTACATTCCTAAGCCGGTAATCCCGACAGCAGATAAAATTAAACCAGACGCGAAATAAAATTAAAAGGTATATAAAAACGTTCGATCCCGACTAATTTCGTGGCGTATGGTGTGGAAGTGTTCCTTTTGTTTTCGATGCGAGGAACTTCTCCGATGGCAACGAGAGAGATGCAGGTATCGGTGATCTGCAGCGAGCTTAGAGCCGAGTGCACCGAGTATTAATATAGGAAAGCGGGTCACAGGTCACTGACACATCCTTGTGTGCAGTCCTTGCTATGTACGCGGATGCGCACGTAAGCGCTGTGGTATGTGGATTGTTTTCAGGAACACTCAATGATGCAAAATGTAATGAAACACTACAAACACATCCTAACAGCGGCAGCGTGTTGACATTGGAACACATCCCGATATAACCGCCGCCAGTCACATACAACCGATAAATTACATCAAATCCACATTATCCAGACATCCAGTACAGTAAGTATAAACAAATCAAAAATAAAACTTTTCATACAAACTTTCAAGTCGCGGAATATCATAATGACATTGGACGTTGTCACGACATTTACTTGGCAAATATGGCGCAAAGAATACAAATTCAACTTTCATATAAATATCATGGAAACGATTATTGCGTCGACATCGCTAGTATAAAGCATAGCGCACACGATTTACCGGTCCCGTGTAGGCTTACAAAGATCGTATCTGTACAATAAATCTAGAAGATAAAACGCGTATGCTACGCCGGTTGTGTACCTAACGAAAATACAATCAGACGAGAGCTATCAATTTATTTCGATCGGGTCTTTCATTCCGATTAAATATTATGAAGTTTATTCTACTCAACACTCATCAATTTTATCGTTTCGATTCTATACGTGGAGAGCGTGAGTAAAAGTTTAATTTCAACGATAACTGCTGTGTATTCTGTGCTTAAATGGACAAAGAAATTATGAAAGTAAGTGTATGCAGTTCGGAGGAAATTAGACAAGTGATGTGTGGGAACTGCGCGCCGACCGCTTGCAATTTACCTCCAATGTGCGCACGAGAATTATGGCAACCGTGCACCCAGCCCCCGTTGCAGCAGGGCTGTCCGGAGTCCTACAACCGCAACAATAACCCGCGTCCATTCCATACTTCATATTCCACCAAAACAAAAACAAAACTATCCAAGCTTTCCGAACAAATTGGATACTTATAAAGAGAACATAATTAGGTCCCCTTACCAACCCTACAAGATTCGACTCGGCAGGCAATTTGTAGGAAAATTGCGTCTGTACAACGTTTTTATGTTCTATTTGAATCGTCAGAGTTCGGTTCTCCAGAAACAACCGAACAAATTACAGACATCATCCTAATTCAACGGCGTAACGATATTAAATGAAGGTGTACCCGACTATCGGATCTATTAATGTAATTCCAATTCACAAATAAATAACACATTTAAAGAAGGACGAGGCAGCATCGGTACGTGCCCGCCGCCGCTGCGCCAGATAACGTGTAATTATGGCCCCAGAGGTCACTACAAATAAAACGAAAATTTATCCGAACAGCAAACGCCAATAAACAAAAACAAAAGAAAGCGAAATAACCGATAATTTGAGTCGGCTGCGCTATCGGAGGCGGACGCAAGCGATTTGGGATGTTTCAAAACGCGATTTTGGGGAAGCGCGGGGGATGCGCAATCACGCGACGCTTCCGCTGATGTGATCGATCGATCGATAATGAGGCCGCCGGACGCTGGCTACTCGCTCATTATACTAGCCTGACAGCAGCGCCTAGCGCGACTGAACCGCGAGCGATCTAATTAGCGATCGGTGGGAGGTTTCCAACGAAATCGAAACCGCGACGCCGAGCGATGTTGACGCGCGAAGGTTCGACGACCGTTTTCCGCAGGTGAGGCCCACATCATTAAACGATGTGTCGATTTCCACTCGTCTCGATTCGGACACCTGCCCGGGCCGGTCGTACGGCCGCGGCCGCGCGCCCGCCGCGCCGCCGCTGTGGGAAACTACATCTCATCAATGGGCCTGTCTATACAAACGACGCGCCACTTTTGTTTATAAAACTGTCCACTTCTAACACTCAAAGAATATTTCGTTACGAGAAGTGCTCCTCGGCGACGTCGCCTCTTGCACTCAATAAATAACTCATCCACTCAAACCTCAAGAGCCTCGAGAAGCCAAATTAAAAATTTCTCAATGTTACTTAAAGAGGTTTCGCGTAAAGACGTGAAGAACGGTTCGCAATTTAAAGTTCCCATTGTTCAGTGAGAAGATACGGACAGTTTCGTTCCGCGCGGAGGATTCGATGAATGCGAAGGATTGTGCAATGTAGTCCTTACATTTCCAGACGGCTGACGTGGTGCTTAACCTTCGTGAAAGCCAATTAACGAGGCAAGTAATCATAGCCGCGACGCGAGATTCCTGGGAACCGCGCACGGGCCGCACCACCCGCTACAGTAATGAATTGACTAATAATGCACGGCCGGATAGCGAGATAAGCAGCCGTCACAACATAACTGTATCGATAATCGCATCTCGGTCGTGTAATGTCAGCCGGCGAGCGGTAGCCGGGCCCGGGGCGGCTCACCGGCCCGCGCCAGTAATTGCCTCTACGAATCTCTTATCAATACATTTCACACGCTCTTTTTCTCGATTCTGCCTATATGGACTAGTAAAACTAAGTAGTGCAATAATGGTAAACAGTGCGGCCAACACGGCGGTAATGTAAACAAGAGCGCAGGACGAGACATTAGGAGTGTGCCCACCTATTATCCGAGACCATGTGCCGAGCATCTGTCGACAGCGCTTCCTGAGAGCCACCGCGCCTGCTACATCATAAATCGAACCTTCCGGAGCGTCTTCCTGATATTTTTTATCATGTTCAAGCCCTACGACGACGAAAGATGAAGTGTAAACTAAAAAATTCCCTGACTTCCCTCGGAGGTGTATTTTTTAGCATCCAGTAAGTAAACAATACCGCGCGGCGGCCCGTTACTGCGGACCAGGTGCGGCTCGGCCTGCCTCGGGCGCTACACAAAAGATTTCGGTGAAGGAGCCGAGCGACAACATCAGGATTGCCAGCGACCATTGTTGTGTACTTATTTGTTTAGCACAAGAATCTCTTTATTCGCCGCTGTGAGTGAGCGCTGCTCAATGCGCCGCGTGTTTATCTATGATATATTGGATTCTTAGACGCGTGGGTCGCCATTCTTCGTGTCTTCTGCATAAAAATTTACTGCACCGAAGGGTCGCGACAATGAATTAGCTACGTACAACGGTCGCTTTCTAAGTCAATGCAGCTGTTCAATTTGGGTATTAGATAAAAAACCGAATGTGATTTAATTAAGCATTAGTCCGGTGAGTCGATAGTGAGTGAACACAAACGGCGTGCGTGTAACCTGTTATTATGCTTGATTAGATTTCTGTTGGTAACATTTCTCGGTAGTGAAGCGGCGCCGCCCATCGCTCCCGAGCCGTATTAAAAATATACCCGTCCTCTAAGCTATCCACTTCGGACGCTAATGATTTTCGGTAAACCGGCCCGTAGACACACCTCACCGTATCTCTAAATCTCCTAAGTAAATCACCGGAGTTTTTTGTTAGTCGGTCAGGAGTAGTAATTATGTCGGTCAGAGTGCAGCGCGGTATGAAAATCTAATTAAGAAATGGGCGTCGCTGGTCAGTTTTCGCGTCCGCCATTTTAATAATTTTGAAAATCGAATTGGGCGCGTTCGTTTTTGTTTCGGTCGGCATCAAAACACTGAGGAGTGTTTTATTTTTCGTGTAGCGATGTAGCAGGCAGGAGTTGTGTAGCAGCGCGGCGCGACGTAGCGATGCACGCGGCGTATTATCACGATGATGTATTTACGACCCGGCCGGTTACAATTCATTCGGAATCGTTTTTTCGGTCACGCCACGTCGCATGTAAGACATAAACTGTCGATTCTTTATTGGGCGTTTAGGCTTCTCGTGATATCAAACGGAACGAGCAAAACTTACCCAATCGATTATTATAAATGATAACGATCTAAAATTATATTCGAGCACATGGCATGACTGAAACTCGATTTTGTGGCTAAGATGGCGTGTCAAAGCCGAATGTTTTCATACAAAAGGTTGTTTAAACAAAGTAGGTAACCAATTTGCCTATATTCCTTAAGTAATGTTCGTAGCGCGACGTCTAGGTGCCGGTCAACGGCCATCGGAATACATTAGAACATTTCTACTAAATTTTCGTCCTACAGAAGGCTGAGTTTATTAGAATAGCGCGCGCATTGCGAAGCGAATCACGCGCATCGCCGCGTGCTTTGAACACCAATCGTCTACACCATGGGAACATTTTTGTCTTCCACGATATGATAATATGAGCATTCAAATATACATACTGTCCGTTAAATGCACGATAAACACCCAGAATTACAGTGAAACCTGAATGTGAGTGAGTCGTGACGACGTGATTTGAATTTTACAAGGCGGACGAAGATTTTCATGACCCTTTTTATCATAATCGTATTATAAGGAGAACAGAGGACTTACCATCAGATCTCGACGTCTCATTGGTGTCGTGCCAAGCTTCCACAATAAGCGTGAATGTGCCCTGCAACATAAAGGAGCGTGTCATATTATTGCATTACAAACACGCTGACAAGATAAGCATCAAAATATCTACAAGTGCTCGATAAAGGAAGTGAAACTCGAACTGTAATGACAATTCTCCTGTTCAATATGGCGTTAACAAATTTATTCCACCTGTCCTTTTCAAAACTTTCACGTTACTTCATTTCCTTCATGTTCACACTTATTTATCCCTACACAATGTGGCAACCGCATCGTTTAGTGATTCACGCGACATCCGCAAATCGTACCAAAATAATCGCCCTACGTACAGGTACCATCATCTCGGAGAACAAGACCTTTAAACATGGGCGCGGCAGTTGAGAATTTCAAATATTTCCTTTACTTTACGACAATGTTAATAGCCGACGAGTGTAAATTAACAACATGATAGACAGGTGAACCCGGGAGCAGATGGTAGCGAAATTGTTTCAATATCATGCTAAAAATAATACAAACGCAATAAGGCAATGACGCTGGCTCGCTCTGCTAACGAGTGCCTACTGCCTACATCGAATGATCCCGCGGTGAACGTGCACCTATAAAAAATACGAACGAGTGCGTATCTGATATCGAGCTATTGACATTAGTCCATGTTTACACAACGAGGCGAAACGGCAGTCGAAAATCGATTAAAAACTTGATAACGCTACATGTCAACAGCTTTGGGGCGCCTGCGACGGAACTTATCAATGGGTTTTTTGTCAAGTTCCGTTCATGCAAAAATGTACGAGTCTCGGTTTATGAAATTTCTCCCACCGCGGTCGGAACCGGTCGCCGGTCAAACACTCGATCCCGGCGATGCTCAGCCTGCCCGCCGCGCGCCGGCTCGTGTTCCCGACCTTTGCTTCTCTAATCGCTGTTTAATTACGCTACGGATGCGAGTTATCGATGAACAATTTTCGGTTAAATATTGAAACGAAAATACAACTGTTTATTGCAGATTAATACGTTACAACGGACAAATAAAACGTAGTCGTAATAAAAGTTGAAACATTGAAGGTGAGTGGAAACGCGACCCACTTCTATGACACACAGATCGAATTCAAAGCGTCTTGAACCGTGTTCACGTATCAGTCGGACAACTTTGTAGCAATGATATTCGATATTAGTAAATATATTAGAGGGGCGATTTGGAACTGTTAGCATGAAACAAACAAAGTAGAGAAAGGAAAAAGATTGAAATAAATTGGTGTTTGCTGAAGCACCGCGATGAAAGCTAGACTATTGATGATTAAAGACGAAGACGGACGCGAGGGAATCTCTGAAGCTGGATTATAATTACAATAAGCATGTGACGGGTCGCCTGCGCAGCTGCGCGCGCGCCGGATACGAAGGGTCACCGCTTAACTAATACCTCATTTGATCGCCACCACCTACTTTAACGAGTGATTCAGTTTTTCCGGACAGATGTCGCCAGTCTTCAATTAAGCTCTATGAATGAAAACACTATTTGCATGCACGAACAATGGTCTCTATTTGCATAGGAACTGATACCACGTCTCTAACGAACAATGATTATTGTCGACTGATGGAAATCAATACGAGAAATCTGACGTTTCACAACGCACGACGACGCGTCACAAAAAACCGAACGCTTTTTCCAACACTTTTGAAAAAAAAGACGAGATTTCAATTAAACTTTCGTTTCGTCTATGGTTTTGACGAATTTATAATATGTTACGTTAAATACTTAGACGATACAAGCGGACGTGTCACACGTCCCTCTGAATACTAAGCAGACGGGCCCGCCGACTGAACGAATTTGAGCCTTAAACGACACAAAATAACCTTAATCAGACATCAAAAAGTAGATTTACCAATATAAGGAGTGATAGACGCTTGTCAAAATACTTTATTATGATTTGTGTTGCATGCACCCGATCAAATATGGCAAGTCGTAGTATACGCCGTATTGATTTGTTAATCGAGTATGGAGAACGCATTTCGGTCAGCTGTGGCCGGTCGTAAGTATATGCCGGTTCCCACGACAGTGACTCTCGAGCCAGCCCATAAAAAGCGGCCGACGTAAGCGTACGTGTGCAGGTAGCCTTTATAAACGTGTCGAGTTGGCGATACCGTATACTTATACAACAAGTTGTTGAGTCTCAGTGCCTAGACTTTGCTAGCAATTAAGGAAACGTATTAGTCCGTGTAAAGCTCGCCTTATTTGTGCTAATTTTATCTGTCGTCACAATTCGTTGCAGTTTGTGTTCCAATTCTGAAATATTAAAGCAATACTGGCCATCACAGACGCGTTAATTATCACCGTTCCAAATTTGAACGTGTTTTCTTTTTATTAAAAAACATAATATCGGGCTGGGATCGCAGCGTATCGAGACACATTAATTTTATCCCTCGAAAGCGATGCGTTAAATTGTATTACTGAGTATAGGAACTTGAGCGGACGAATAGACTGATATCACGGTATGAATGCTGGGGAATCATTTGATAATCGTTTTATGGGGGTGCCTGAAGAGGCTACTTCCATATCGGAGCTCGTTTCAACGTTATTTCGTTATTAATTAAGGAATCCATCGAAAGGATACGTGGGAACGGAGCTAAAGTTTTGTGCTTCTTATTTGTTAGCGCCATGTGTTTGGGATTTTGAAGAACAAAAGGTATAATCAGGTGTCCGGTGAAAAGGACCTCTGTTTGGGCCGCGCCACGTGTTTGGGCTACTATTGTTCTGTTTATTGTTTAAGTGAAATGAAACCGATTTAAAATGGCAACAGATGTTTCTCTTGTTTGTTGGTTTTGGCTACAGCTTATAATGAGCTTAAAGGTACAAAAAATATGAAAGACTACGGGTTTCTTGCCGCCGTGTTCAACATAAACTCGACTAGGTACCGCTTCAATAAATTGGAACAAGGTCACCCTACGATTGGTTTCGGTCAAAAGTGTACAATATCGGAAGTATTTATATAAAACATTACAAAAAGACATTACCGTAGTTCGCTTTCGAGTATCGTTTCGACACGAGAAAATATTTGGAACACAAACACCCGGGCAAGTGGAAGAGTCGTGATTTCATATTTCACACTTTGCCAGTGTGGTAACATCGCTTTGGACAGGTTTTTTTTTCACTTAAACCCCGACCAAGTTGTGTTTCGGCCAGTATCTCAGAATCGATTGTTAGCGCACAGCAATAAGGTTTCATATCCGACGATTGACTGAATCGATTTGTAAACGAAACGTTGCCGTGTTGATATGTAGACAGAACGAAGAGTTGCCCCGTACAATACGTCAAATTAAAAAAGATATGCAAATTCAAGTCCGTCCGATAAATATGGAACGCGTAACTTGTTTTATTATTACGAGCGTTCCGAGCGCATTTATTTATTAATGCTTTTAATTAACTTTATCTCCTTCTATTTTGGCAGCGACGAATGTGAGGAGCGTTGACCCGATGATGAATCATTTGACACTGTATTAGGAAGTTTTCTTGTATAATAAAAATGCTTTTAAGTCTTGTTAGGATTGTGCAATAAATATAATATACACCGTGTGAACGGGAGACTTCCTGTACAAATATTCTCTAACAAAAAATTTAGGTCGACAGTTTATTGGCGACATGGAGTACGTACACATGCATTCTGTTAGAATGTTAAGCAGTTTCGTGTTAAAGTAACTGAGCGAGGCACTGAGCCTCTCTACTGCGCTGCTGAGTCGAGAGGCGAGCACCGACGAACTATTTTAACAGTAGAGCGCACTCTCCAACATGGCCGGTTAATCCTTGTTGGTGTACGGGCACGTCTGCGCAAGCGCATATAGACAAAAGCGAGACGTTCTCAAAGCAACAGCGACCTCGTAGCTCATGTGAACCTACCAAGTTCCAAATAAATTGTTTAACGAGAGAAATCCTTTGTTTGTATTCGAAAATTGTATGCTCAAAAATTAAGAGGAAACTGACTTGAATGGCTGTGTGTAGTAGATCTACTTAACGTTTTCTTCAAAAGCAATATGATTCTAATGTTATAAGAGTTTTGGAACAGTTCCAACAAACTAACGAAAGATTTATGACTTTATACTTAACGTGTGAATTCATAAACATTTTAGCGTTATAACAGTCAGAATTATGTCTCTGGACATCATCTTTTATCTAACAACGTACTGTATCTCTCTATTACAAACTCCATCGTTTACAAGATAATTTAAAAACAAATATTAATATCCAAGATCATCAAGCGAGCATAAATAACACACAAACTGCAAAATGGTCATGAGATCATTTACATTTCCCTCGAGACGCGTCAATTAACAAATCTTTACGTCCAGCCAGGTACGACATAAAATGTTCAACCAATTAAAAGCGTTAAACATTTTCACACGCCAATCATAAATAATAACCATTAAATTGATGCTATAATAAAGTTCCAGTGTTGCCCACTAAACCCGAGAAAGTAAACACTGATGTGACCACACTCGAAAAATTAACCGACAGTTTAGTACATTATGGAAGGATTAATTACTCCAACCCGCTTTACCGGGAAACATTAAAAAGTTGAAAAGCCTGTCGTAACTCAAACGAAATGTTATACTTTATATCTGTGACGATTATTTTACGAAATGCAGCTAGAAAACATTATGACAGACGTAACTACTTTTTTTTACCGCTAACGACCGGTCCAGCCCGTATACGACACACGAAATAAGTCAGACATTAACAATTTATTGCCCTCAATTACAATCATCGCGAAAAAAGACACTCGCCGAAGGAATTCGGGACTTTGAATCGGGGCCGAAGTGAAAAAGGGTACCCTTAATTTTCACATGGCATCGGCGGTATTCGGCGACGGGCGGGACCTCGGCCCGCCGCTGGAGAATTCCAAAAATGAAAATGTCGGCCATAAACAACAGAACGATTTGAATGAAGCATAAGAATTAAAAAATAAAGAATCAAGTTAACAAATTTTGTGAGACATCCACGCTCGGGCCGGCTCTCCGCGGTGATCTGATAAGGCCCTGAGAAGGGTTCGCCGT